GCTAACCGGGTAGCTGTATTTTGTGCGAACGATATAAATCATAATGTGATTTTGTAGAAATTGTAATCAGGTGCAAAAAAAAAAAAGAGTACCCATTAAACTGTCTTTACATCAAGGACCCGATCATGGAACACTGCACAGTACAAGCGCAGCGTTGAGCTTCTCGAGTCTGTTCAGTAAAGAGCGTTTTGATTGGTGGATTAAAAGCTCACCGCGATTGGCTGAACGGAACATCCTCCAAAAAAAGATATTTGTGAATCTTAACCTGCCAGGAAGGTCTCAAAAATACCACACACAAATTCAAAGCAGTCCACGCATGTGTGACGATCTGCAAATGCAGATTCAACGATCCATAAATACATGTAACATCATTCATAAATGTGTGATGCAAATTAATTCAAGAACTTGATATATACATATTTGTGTAAACATTTTAAATTTATTTAGGTAAGATGCATTTGTGTGAGCGTTTGGGGAAATATTTATGCTTTTACTTGTGTATTTAAGAATTGTGTTTTGAATTTACGAATCAGATTTTGTAAATGTGAATTGTGCTGTGCATTTATGAATTCTGGCTCCATAGTAAGTATGCAATTTAATATTAAAATAAATACAATTGAGATATTTTTAATTGCTTAATTTTTTCATTTCCTTATCAATTTTTACTATTGATTTTTTTTTTCTTTGCATGTGAACATTTATGTACATATTCAGTATATGTCCTCTGAATGGTTTAAAAACAGCTTTACAGAAATTAATAACGCAAATGTTTATCATTATCTTAAATATCTTAAAGTCACAAAGAGCAGCTGCTTAATTTAAAGTCATGCCTAAGATAATAATATCTTTATTTTATACATCTTGCATATAGTATATAATATCTTTAGTCCCGTGTCTTAATTGTAATTGTGTCTTGTTTACCATTACACTTCTTCCAAACTAAACGTGCTTAAACTTGCTTACAATACCGTCTGAAATCATATTTCTATCACTGACAAAAAAGCTGTTTGGAATTCGTCTGATAAAACTAACTAAATACACCTAAACTGAAGGTATATCTTCTAAACGATGATCAACCCACAGCCGAGCAGAAATAGATCTGGAGTTCATAAGAGGTCACAGAAGTCAAAGGTCACACTCTGACCTTACAATTCCGTTCTCGTCTGTGTCTGATTACACACACCTCTCTAGTGTACAGTAAGTGAACCGCACTGATGAGATCCTGCAGATCACACACTTCAGCTGCGTTTGTACTCAACACAAACACGAGCGGAAAATCCGGTTTAACAGAGGACAGAGACAGAAGAACAGGAGTGGAAACTGATGAGTGGACGAGGGAAGGTCAGACGCACATGACTCACATGACTCACGTCACCATAGCAACAGCAGCTTCCTGAACAGACCAGAATAAACACTGCCATTATGAGCCGCTCCATTACATACAGCAAGAGAAAGTGTTGGGTTTCAGCGTGTGTGAGACGGACGGACTGAGGAAGAAGCGCCAAAAGGGATATTATAATGAACTAAAACTAGTGCTGTCAAACGATTAATCGCATCCAAAATAAAAGTTTTGTTTACATAATATATGTGTGTTCTGTGTATATTTATTATGTATATATAAATACACACACATGTATGTATATATTTCAGAAAAAAATGTATGTTTATATATTAAATATATTTATATATGATATAAATTATATTAATATAAATATATACATGTAAATATTTTTTAAATATATACTGTATGTGCGTGTATTTATATATACATAATAAATATACACAGCACACACACACATACTGTGTAAAGCAGACACAATACTCTGGCGTACAGTAAAGCAGGGCACTATACTCTGGCATACAGTAAAGAAGGGCAAAATACTCTGATGCGCTACAGTAAAGCAGGGCACTATACTCTG